ATCGAGCCGGAAGCAAGTTATGCCGCTTGGGAATGACCCGCTGAGTGCGATTCTCCAGTCGGAAAAGCTCCGCGAGTCCCTCGCTCACAGCTATATCTGCTGAAAACGCTCCAGAGAAAGGGTCATAAAGTGGTCTGAAATGCTCGTTTTTTACCTGCTTTTGACTGGTTCTCGGCTGGACAAAATCAAAAGTTCGCCAATCGGACCGACACCAAGTAAGGTAACTTGGAATTGACCCGCTGAGTGCGATTTTCTAGTCGGAAAAGGTCCGCGACTCCCTCGCTTCGAGCTATATGCTGAATACGCTCCAGAGAAAGATTCAAAAAGGAGTCAGAAATTCTCGTTTTCGACCAGTTTCCGAATGTTTCTCGGCTCAGGGAGCCTCACCGAGAGTCAAGACCGTGTGGAATTGATTCTACGCCTCGAACTTAATAGGATGCGACTGATTTCTCGAAATTTTTTTCTCAGTCCCAAATGGAGAAAAATCTAAAGGGGTTATATGGACTAAATTTTTTAGCGTCAAAATCGAAAGTTAGACGAAGCATTTCGGGTCAAAATTGAAAGGTAGCCAAACGGGGTGAAACCAAGTAAGTTCGCTTGGAATTGCCCCGCTGAATAAGATTTTCCTGTCGGAAAAGTTCCGCGAGACACACGCTTCGAGCTTTCTGTTGAAAATGCTCGAGAGAAAAAGTCAAAAAGTGGTGGAAAATGCTCGTTTTTTACCTGTTTTTGACTGTTTTTCGGCTCAGGAAGCCTCGCCAAGTGTCGGGACCGTGTGGAATCGATTCTACGTTTCCAACTGCGCAGGATGCGACTGAAATCTCGAAATTTTTCTCTCAATCCCAAATCGAGAAAAATCTACAGGGGTTACATGGACTAAATTTTTTAGCGTCAAAATCGAAAGTTCGCCGGTCGAGCCGAAACCAAGGAAGCTCGATTGGAAATGACCCGCTGAGTGCGATTTTCCAGTCGGAAAAGCTCCGCGAGTCCCTTGCTTCGAGTTATCTATTCGTGTTTTATCAACAAATTTAATCGTTTTAAAGTGAAAAAACGAGATTGGAAGTAGGGATTATTATGCTTTGAATTCAAACATACGTTAGCCCCTTCTTTTTGGATACATGGTTCCAGCTAGCACACTCGCGAGTTCGTGAAATGCCATCAATAATCAGTGTTAGGTTCGGTTCAGCAACTAAACTAACTCCTTGGCAAAGCGGAGAGTATCGCTGGATTTGAAGGCGTAAAGAAATCTTTACTGCATATATATCGATGATATCGTAATTACAATTTGACGAATTGACAAGTACGGAGCTTGCAAATTGCCGGCGATTGCTGACTCCCTGCGACTTACACACTGATAAATATTTCAGAGATAACAGGGCGCATACAGGCAGTTCCTACAAAAATTGAGATAGGTAGTTTTAATTTCAAGTAAAACTAGTCTTGATGCATATTCCGTGAAAAATTCGCTCCCAAATTCCAATTTTTAAGCATCAAAATGTCAGTTTGAACTTTTATTCCGCCATAAGGATCCATGTATAATTTCGAAACTTCAAACACGTATTTCTCGAAATAGCAGAAACTGCACTTCAAAATGTTCGCTCCTATGTTTAATTTTTCCGAGAAGAAACAAGCCTTTATATCTTAATTTTTTACAGAATATTCTGCTAATGGAGATGAAAAACTAAGGAGGTTTCGAAGAATTAAGTACGTTTACTAGTTTTTTAAGAAAAGCATGAAACATGACAGGAAGTTTGCTACGTCGCAAATGGAAATGTGCGGTTTCGCACTTTGGCCATCGAAATCCTGGTATACGTCGTCGGCAATGAATAATTTTCTGTGCGATTATTGCTTCGTAACGTGTTCCATGTGGAGCTTCTTGAGGAGACGTATGTTTACCACGTCAGATTAACGATGAGGGGGGGATCGAACCCAAGTTTTGACGGATCCTTACCTGATCGTCTTGCTTTCAGGAAGACGAAGCGAAGGCTAGAGGCCTCACTTAAGTCGATAAGGGTTTCCACGCGTTCCTAAAAGCGAACCGTCGCGCTTAGAAATGAAAATTATTTTTCTTTTCTTGTTCGGCTATAGTATTGGTGGATTTGATGGAGTACCGATACGGTGCGCGCGTTTAATGTCTCATCAGACATTGTGCGAATATCGACGGTGAAACTACCAAACCACGTATCTCGTTTGCGGTGTTTAAAAATCTACGCTCACATTTTATTTTTTTGAAGTAGACCAAATCAATATCATTCCTTGAAATTTTCACGGAATTTTCTCCGCACAAAGAGGAAAAACCACAGAAATTTTCAAGACTAGATGTTAAGTACTTTTTCATTTAAAAAATAAAGTATGACAGGAAGTCTGCGACGTCGCAAACCGAGATACGTGGTTTGGTAGTTTCACCGTCGATATACTAGGTCGTCATGATATCACCCATCAATATCCTCTTCCTCTCGTTGATCACTGTTACTCTGATAAGGGCGCACATTCTTCCACTTACGCAGCACTCTTCGTTGCTCTTTTGACGAAAGGACGTATCTCAATTTCCACTTGAGCCCTGCTCTCTGTGTAATTCTATGCTTTCCAAGGCTCACGTGGAAACAGGGATACGCCCTTACGTTTGAAAAGCGACGCAAAGTGGGTCGAGTCAATCAGTGGGGTCGGGCATGAAATTTTTGACTGCAACTGCAAATGTTGATGTTTAATCGGACGTATCTCTGGAACTAAGCGCCAAATTGAGTTCTTTTTGAGGAATTTAGGATGCCGGATAGCGCGTTCTGTCAAACGGAACTAAGCGCCATGGAGAAGCATTGAGAGCATAGGACGGAATGATCTCGACGCCCGGTTCCGCCGCCAATCCAAGCCCCCCCTCTACCTTCCTCACCCTATGACGCTTAGGTCCGTTTGCTAGAAATACGTCCAATTCGTCACATATTAAATTTTAAGGAGTGTTTCTAGAGGAAAGTTTCATGACGAAACACATTATGGAAACACTTTTAAAACCTCAAATTTTTATAGGAACAAAATTTTAAGCTTTTAAAGTTTCCAAATTTGGTCCGACTTCTCCCGTTGACTCGATCTACTGTGCGACGTTTAATCATCTCTAACCTCTTCTCCTCTTTTCGAGGGCCCCACGCCCGCGGTCTGTTTCAGCCGTGTTTTTGCACTTTTGGAGACACTCGTAAAAAATGTTCGATTGCTTTATTTTATTAATTTATCTTGCACTTACCATTTGTTCGATTGTTTTATTTTATCAATCTTGCTCAATTTTATTTTAAGTCTTTGAGTTTATTTGTTTCGCGGAATACTTGAGGTGTAATTGATGCTCGCAGTCTCTGAAGTAGTGGGCTGTGCTTATCCAAACATATGGATTGCGGATTCCTGATAGTGATATGCTAACGAGATCACTGAGTGTTGCAACATTTACTGAGACTGATTTGACTGAGGCAAGACAACTTGCATCCCGCCGCCGTCTTGCGCCGCGCCGCGAGTGAAGCGTAGCGGTGAGAGCTCAGAGAGTTAAAACGCCTTCACTTGCGCGCGTATGCAACACGGACATCCGTGGAGGCCGAATAGTTGCATGCAGGCCGGCAGGCGCTCTGATGAAATTCGTTCAATGCTTGTCGCGTGCGGTACTAACTGAGGGCGTGTTTCTCTCACCCTTCATCGCAACTTAACTCCAGCGTCGTCTATTGTGCCGATGAAGTAATCTGTAACTGATTTTCATCCCGCCGTTGTTAATTTTAGGGAAAAATGCAGATTGTTTAAATGTTTTACAATATTTATAATACATTTAAGAAAGAAGGCAGAGAATTTACAATTCCTGTTCTTTTAGATAATCATAGTATTATCTAACGTTAACATATAAAATTAATGCAGTTTGTTAAGTTTTAGTTTTAAGCCACGTAGATAGATACAAGAAACACTTGTAGTAGTTACGATATATTTAAATAAAATTTCTTTTTAAAAAAAAAAAAAAAAAAAAAAAAAAAAAATTACAATATTTCCGGTCCTCGAAATCTCAAGAAATGTAGGCATCTAAGCAGGATTTGTCGAGTCTCTTTCGACCCACTAAAATAAGTTGTCCTTTACTTGGACCAAACCCCCTCCTCCTTCGGAGATAAACTTTTAATGTTTAAGTGTGAAATATTTAGAGAACGATCCTCGAAGCCGGGCGTGAAATTTTAGTTAAGGCATTGACAAAAATCATGAACACATATATTTCTACTTAAAATGTTTTTATTTAGGTATTTTCGCTTTTGGGGTGTGAGTCTTGACACTCTCTTTTTGCGCTATTAGGCTATGCATTTCTCACTTTTTTGTGTTTTTGGGTGCCGTCCAGTGGTTTGGCGTGCTTTGCGATGTATCGATTGTTCTGCCATTTAAACATATGGTAAAGAATCGATCATTAAGGTGTTCGCTGCGAACACCCTGATTATCGATCCTTTTCCATAGGTTTAAATGGCATAACAATCGATACATCGCAAAGCACGCCACGCCACTGGTGCCGTCCCTCATTCGAGGCGTAGCCAAGGCCAAGACGAGCCTGACTCTCCTTTGTGCTGTCGATAAAAATCAGACAAATTTTCAAACAGATTCAACCAACGATTTCTCTGTAAAACGAATGAAATGGCGGCGGGAATTTCAAAACGTCGAAACGCGCCTGCGATACTTCGGCCGGAAGGTGTCGAGATATTGAAACATCGCAATCAAGAAATAACATGTAGTTTTAGCTTTGCTAGCCAGTGTGGCTAGCTCAAGTATGTGAGATAAGATTAATCAATTCGTTACGCTGCGCTGCCACGAGAGACGACGGCGAAGCATTACAGCTTGAGTCGCGGTAAGCGCGTGGATTTGAGCTTTTCGAAGTTCACATCGAAATGAACCTGCTGCCGTCTATCTCATCCACACGCGGAAATTTAGGTGACATCATCACCAAAACAAAGCGTGACTTCACTTTTCAATTATGGTTCACGAGGTAAGTTTTTTCCTATGGATTTGATGCGATACTCCGATGATAATCCCCTTCATTACATCATTCTAAGACCAAATCAACATTAATACTTTTTGCGCGTTGTGCTGTCAATATTTTTTTGTGAAGTTCGTTTTTTTAGCCATCCGTTTTTTTCTATTTGTCGGTTAGTGCTTATGAAAAAAAAAATAATTCTCTCATATAAGCGTTTATAAACATACATGTTATTGTGATTATATTATCACGTATTAGAGTCAAAGAGATGTGTGCGTGTGTGTGGGTTTAAATTCCTTCAGAAATTTGATCGTGGGAGTAAGAAATGAATATTTAAGGAGACTAACTGTGAGACCCATCTTTCAGCAAGGAGCATAACCGATCAGGTACGTTATTACGTCAGGTACGTTTATTATACGTTGTGAACGATAAAATGAATTATCAATCTTTTGTTTTCCGTCGTCGCAAAATAAATTGAGATGTGAGAATTGCTCAATTCAATTTGCTTGAACCCCTCTCCCGAGTGTCATTCATGTGCATTTAAATTTTATCGAATGAAAGTGAATGAAAGTTTCATACTTTTCATGTGATCTCGATCCACTATCTTGTAGGAAACATTTGTGGAGATGATTTTGTATGTAAAGTTTACCCTGAAATAAATTTTGATAAAAATCACAAATAGTATCCATCTTCTGAAATACGTTACTTACATTCTTCATGTGTGAAAATTTTTCCTAAAAAATAAGCTAATATTTGGTTACTTTAGTCTTGAGATTGAAATCACCCTTGAATACTTTCATTAATATGCATTTATATGAAGACGTTATACTCGTTTTTTCTCGAAAGTGCAAAAATGACACTTTTTACTCATATTTCCTTACTTTGCCAGGGGCTTCATTGATCCCTATATTATTATTAATTTCTGTTTGCTTTGGTTAGATTTGCGTGGTTTTAAGAAAATGTAAGTGGCTGAAAGTAATTGCTACATTAGATGAAGTTGAATCTTTTGAAGAAACACTGCAAATAATGTCTATTAATCGATACAATTCCGGTGATGTAATAATTGCAATCTTTGATGAGCAAAAGGTCAATACGCTCCCTACAAAGGTATCATTACAGATAATTTAAAAAGTAACATGGAAATAACAATAAAAATAACGATCGCTATAAAGATAGTTGAAACAATTTCTGCGCCTTGAATTCAGTTGACAGGCATGGCAACATGCGCCTTGAATTCAGATGATAGGCAACATGCAACCACCTGCAAACTTTGTGCCTATAAGGAACTTCATTGCATTGATGTATTCTATCACAATATTTTTAAATAAAATTGCAATAGTTTGAAGATGAGATTTGCCACTTGTGACAACCGCTGCTATTTATGAGTATTCTACCGTGTGAAGGAAAAACACCACATCGATGGTCAAAGTGCAGAAGTGCGTATCTCGGAAAACACGATTTTCCAGGAGAGTAAAGAAACTGACTACATTCCTCCTTATTTTCGGTAGAAGGGTAATATTTCTTGAGTATAGCAAAGAGTAAGATGCTTTTTCAGACTCCGTCAGCATTTTGAATATTTTCTCGGACTGTTAGAAAATATGGCAGAAATACCGAGATTCGCGTTTTCGGCACTAGGAATTGACACTTCATTACCAGATACGTATTTTTGCAATCAGAGCCGGATTTAAGGGGTGGCCACATGGCGGCAAATGTTGTAATTTTTACAAATATAGGTATCAAAAAAAAAAAAAAAAATCAGATTCAGAAAAAAATTACATTTTAGAAAAGGCGACAAAATCCCTCATTTCCTGATAGTTAGAGTATAGTAATTTCTAATTTGTTCGTCTGTCGGTGATACAAGAGACAGCGGCTTTCACTAGTCTAGTTGAGAGAGAAACCAAACACGCAATTTGGCCTGGAGCGGCGCGGCGCGGCGCGGCGCGGCGCACAGAGCAATGATGACGAGGACTTGAGATGAAAAGTATGGAACGCCGTTAGGGACCAAACCTAAAACGCGTGCGCAACACAGGAAAATACACGCGCGACACAGTAAATCTCCGCTGCACAGGAAAATTTGAGTGTTTCACGGAAAATTATGTGCCCTGCGAGAAATTTCGATATTTTAACCATTACGCGTAGCGCGCAAGAAAGTACGGGAATAACCTCAAATGCTGCGTCGCGCGTCAAACTTCGATATATCGAAATTCCACGCGACGCACAACATTTTCTTTTCTCTCCGGGGAACGCACAATCTTTTTTTTTTTTCTTCTTCAGATCAGAAAACCGTTGGAGGGGAATAGCTGCACTGTTGTCAAGACTATGCCTGAAAAGCCTACTATATTTCTGATCATTTTAGATTGAAGAATTCGTTTTCGGTTTTAGTATCACCTAGTATCACTCGCCTCGCCTTTTTACAGAAACGTCGCCGTTAGTCCCGAAACCCAAAACTACCAAATATTTATGCGAATTTTAGTGTATATGTTACATTTTTACTTTTTCGACCCATCGACTCCTTCTCTGTGTATTCTGGATGCCCGGTCATCAAGGCACTTGGATCAGTTCAATCTTCTCACGTGCAAGTATAATTTTTACATTTTACATTTACTCAAACTAATAATATTTGTTTAATACTGTTTTTTTCATCAAGTGATTTTATGACTCTCCCCTAAATAACTTATCTTCCTCAGCTGAGGATCATTCCACAGCGCATTTATCTTCGCCGCTGCCTAGCAATACCATTTGAAGCCTTTTGAGCATTTAGGTAATGGTAGAAGTGCATTGCTATGTTGTCTCAGTAATGTTACTGAAAAGACTCTGAATGGCAAAAGGGAGGTCCCAATTAAAAAAACACTAGTAGCTAAAACTTATTCATCACGAAGGTACTTTGAAGACGCGTCCAAAACTCCAAAACTAGCATTGAACAAAGAAAAGGCGCCATCTCAATATTCACAACATCGACTTGCCTCTTGATCAGCAGATCGCAACTTTCGGCAAGCCCGAATTTTGAAAGTCTTGGCAACAATGTCATCATTCCCCTCCAACGGTTTCCTGACGAAGAAAATGAAGAAGTAAAAATGTTGTGCGTCGCGTAGGAAGAAGTAAAAAATGCTGTGCGTCGCGTGGAATTTCGATATATCGAAGTTCGGCGCGCGACACACCATTTGAGGTAATCCCCGTAATTTCCTGTGCGCTACGCGTAATCAGTAAAATATCGAAATTACTCGCAACGCACAACATTTTCCGTGAATCACTCAGAATTCCCTGTGCTGCGGAGATTTACTGTGTCGCGCGTGTATTTTCCTGTGTTGCGCACGCGTTTTAGGTTTGGTCCCTAACGGCGTTCCATAGAAAAGAAGGAGCCCTCGCCTCGGCGCGACGGTCAGCATGAAACACAAATTAGCGCCTACAAGACTCCACAAATACTCCACGCATTGCGTCAAACGTAGTGCGGTCAGCGGCGATTGGCGCGAAACTCACAGTGCCTGTAAGACTGCATGAATACTTCACGCATTGCGTCAAAAACAGTGTGGTCGGCGTGAAAAGCATAGTCGCGTAGTTGAGAACTGGGTCTTCAGGAGTTGCCAAATTTCCTTCGACAAATGGCGAATTTTCGGGAAAATTTATGAATAATTCTCTTCCGATTTTTTAGAGGACTTTATCATTCGAAATTCGATCTACAAAGTCTGAAAATTTCGAAGAAAAATATTCAGAACTCTTCAAAAGTAATTTTTTCCTGATAGGAAATTTGGCAACATTCCAATGCTCATGCGCCGTTTTTTCTTAGCATGGCAGTGTGGTGTGCCTCTCGTTTTCTCTAGTTCTTATGAGAAAATCTCGCATCCTTTGCAAATGAATTCATTTCGCATGTCTATGTTGATCCAGGTAAAAATTGGAGACATGAAGCTTCTGACATTTGTGACAGTGCTCTCCTCAGCGTCCTGCTGCTCGGCTTACAATATTCTAGTGTTTTCTCCATATCCCACATGGAGTCAGTACATTCAAATGGAGCCCCTTTTCTCCGCTCTAGGCCTTCGTGGCCACAATGTGACTGTCGTTAGTCCCTTCCCGCCAAAAAAGGAGCAATCGCATTTCCATCACATCCACTTCGTCGCTGATCTTTACTGGAAAATTAAGTGTAAGTTACATTGATGTAAACACTGATGTACTGTCTCCGACGGCTAAGCTCCGCGACCAATGTCAATCGCAGCGATTCAAAGGTCCCGCAAAAAAATTATTCATCAGAGGGGCAAAAATAGTGTGGCTTGGACTTCTCTCTGATTTTTCATTAATCTTACACGTTCACTCCATATGAATTTCAAAAAATGATGTCGATTTTTTATGTTTCATAAGATAAAGCACAGGTGAAAATTTTGAAATATTGCATGCAACTATGACGAGTGGTTTTAGAGTTTCTCCATTTTGTGCATGTCGCTTACTATCGAATTTCCGCACCAGCTGTGCGTACATACTCCAATGATAAGTCAAATGATAAAACCTATCTATAATATATCTTACCCAAACCCTATAACTTGTACCGAATTGAGTATTTTACGAAGAAAAAACTATGGGGTTTTCTGCTGATTAATCAAGAAACGTATCGATGGTCAAAGATCGAAAGTAGGTATCTCTATTTGCGACGTTGTAGACTTCATATCAAACCTTATTTCTTAAGTAAAAAACTAGTGAGATTAAGTTCTCCAAAATTTCGTCCATTTTTCTTCTCTATAGGCAGAATATTTTATATTTTTAGGTCACAGAGTTGGCTTGTTTCTCTTCTAAAAAATAGAATACAAGCGAAAATTTTGAAACATCGCAATGGAGATAGTACGTGGTTTCACACTTTGACCATCTATACATCAAGAACGATGCTTTCAAGCTAAAGTAGAATAGACGACTTGTAACGGAATTAGCCTCTAACCTCAGCAGAAGTTGCCAAATTTTCTCTGATGTTTCATTTTTTACAAAATAAACCGAGCAGAACCGAAACTTGAAATAGTGACTATATTCTTCATAATCTAGGTTACATATGTAAAGAGAGTATAAGGTGTCAAGTAGTTAAATCTTTTTTTATGAAAAATAAAACATGAGAGAAAGGCTATGTGATTCGGCAGTAAGGGTGATTTCGATCGACAACCAAGTACTAGCCCACTGGTTTTTCTAATCGTTTAAAATCAGGAGTTTGACGAGCTCAGCTCGAGATATTTTAAGCATTTTTTCGTGATGACGAAAATTGGAAAGCAATAGCTTTAAAAAAGAGGACCCGGAAAAAGAGCACGAGGCCATAGTCCCAGAATTTTAAGGGATAATTGTCATGCTAAGGAAAAACGCCGTCCGACCCTTCAAACGTTGCCAAATTTCCTTTCACAAATCAAAATTTTTTGGGAAAATTTGTAAATACGTTTCTTTCAAATTTTCAAAAGAAATTCATTTGTAATTTGATCTAAATAGCCTGAAAATTTCAATGGAAAATACTCGCAAGTTTCTAAAAAATTATTTTCTAAGAGGAAATTTGGCAACATTCGAATACTCATACGTCATTCCTCAGCACGGCAGGCAGATAACCCCTAGTACTTTTTTTCCGTGTAGATGCTCTGTATTGTGTGCGGTGGACCATTTCTGCGACATGTGTATTTTCAACACGTCAAACTTTTTAAATTGAAGCCATTTTAAATTGAACGTATTTCTGCCAAACGGAACTATAGGCATTAAAACATGAGCCCTGAGATCTATAAGAATATATGCTGAACAGAGCTCACGTCATCATGCACACCGTTCTGTTTTACAGAAATGTGTCCAATTGTTCTACTCTCCCAACAGTCTCTGCTCCGACGTCCCTGAAAGATTGGATGGCAGAGATTAAAGACAAACGACTACCCATCGACTTTTGGAAAGAGTTACCGGACGCGAGTATGCCCGAAATTCTTGAGTCCTCAGTTTTTCAAGACTTGATTCACAATGAAAACAAATTCGACTTGGTGTTCATGGAGGTGTTCTTCGGCCAGGAACCGCTCGTCGTTCTTGGGCATCTCTTGGACGCTCCCGTGGTCGCTTTTGCAACTTTTGGTCACATGCCTGATATCTTAAGGTACCTATAAGCCTCGAGCCTAAATTCTATGACTAGTCATTTTAGCCTCAATTCTGTGGTTTCCCGCTTATTTTCTTCTCTGAGACCAAGAGAGACCCCCAGAGAGAACTTCCAATTGGACGTATTTCTATCAAACGGACCTATGTGCATTAAGACATAAGCCTTGAGACCCATAAGAATACATGTATACCAGGGCTCACGTCATAATGCACATAGGTCCGTTTGACAGAAATGCGTCCAATTGGACGTATTTCTATGAAACGGACCTAAGCGCCATAGGGTGAGGAGGGTAGAGAGGGACTTGAATTGGCGGCGGAATCAGGCGTCCGGCTTATTCTGTCCCATACTCGCAATGCTTTTCCATGGCGCTCAGGTCCGTTTGACAGAACGCGCTATCCCGCATTCTAAATTCCTCAAAAGGAACTCAAATTGGCGCTCAGTTCCGTTTGATAGAATTACGTCCAATTCATTTGTGTTAAAAATAATTGTTAATATCTCGTTCGAGAGTTGATTTTCAAACCTCCTATCGTGTGAATCGATTTCTACGTAATATTTAAAAGGGAAAGTATGTGATATTATTTCCCAGTTCAAACCTTACCCATATTAATTTAGTGGCCCATTGAACTTTTATTTCAAAATTTTTGCTCTGAACTAAACAACTGAACTGCGTTACAACTGAACTTCATTGGCAATTAGGAACTACAATTTCTGGCTCATACATAAAAAACACCTATCTACTAAGGAAACCTGATGGCACACTACCGACCACGGTGAAACAGTAAGAATGCGTATCTCGGTTGCGGTGTTTCGAAATCTCCGCTATTTTTTTATATTTTCTTTATTTTTTTATATTTTCTATTTTTTTAAGAGGAGACCGAACCAACACTATAGCTTGAAGTTTTCAAAGAATATTTTTCACATAAAGAGGAAAAATCACTTAAATTTTCAAAAAATGACGTTCAGTGGTGTTCCATGTAGAAAATAAAGTTAGACAGGAATTCTGCGACGCCGCGAACCGAGATACGTATTTCTTCAGTTTCACCATCGATAAGTTGTTTCTAAAGTGAACCAGAAATTGTAGTTCCGAATTGCAAAACGTGAAGTCCAACTCCTGGAACGAGGAGTGGAGGAGGAGATTAGGAGGTGCCAGTTGCCGGATGATCTTTGGGAGTATAGGTTATAGGAGGCAATGGCGATTGGGCGTCGTTTAGCGCGAGACTACGCTGTGAAAGCGGCTTTATGTATGTAAGTCCAACTCGTCAAGTTCTTTCCTCTCAGCATTTCTAAATTTTCGGTTTTGTTTCGACTTTTCAAGTCCATTTTCCCGCCGTTTTAGGTACATGGGCGCCCCGAACGCTGTGGCTTACCTCTCACATTTCAACGTGGACTACGCGGGCTCGCTGATCCTGACCCAAAGGCTAGAGAACGCTTGGATTCATTACAGGACGACGCTCTACGACGAGTACTGGTATTACCCGCAACACGACGCTGTTTTGGCCAAGTATTTTCCCGGACCCCTCCCCAGCATCTCTGATATGCTAAGGAACATCTCGCTATTCTTTCTCACTGCCAATACTGCCGTCGATGGGGCTAAACTTTACCCACCTAATGTTATTGAGCTTCCTGTGCTGCATCTCAAAGATCCAGCACCTTTGGATAAGGTACTCTCGCTTATTCTCACTGTCATTTTCCTATTCTGCCGTGCTAAGGAAAAACCCCGTATGAGCCCTCAGGCGTTGCCAAAATTCCTTTCCTAAATCACGGATTCTCGGGAATGTTTACGAGTAGTTCTCTTTCGATTTTTCGGAGGATTTCGTTCGGAATTTTATCTAAAAATGTGAAAATTACAAGGATGCATATTTACAACTTTCCTTCAAAAATGAATACTTTTTGATAGGAAATTTGTCAATATTCAAATGCTCATACGACGTTTATACTCAGCACGGCAGTATTAAAAATGGGACGAGGTCCGAACTGGAAAAAAGTCACATTTTTCCCCATTGAATATCTTACGTGCCCAACGATTTGTACAACCAGCTCCGGATTTGCCGGGGGCCTCCTGGAGCCGTTTTTCTCTATGGTTATTTTCAATTTTCTTTTCTCTGCGAGTGGTCCGATTAAATCTTTTGGGGGCCCTTGAAGCCTTGAAGATTTTGAATAGTTATGGAAGTTCTGAAACGGGGATTTTAGGAGTCATGTGGCCCTAAAATGAGGCTCATAGGGCTCCAAAATGAAGGCATGTGGGACCCTTTGTTTTCCCGGAGACGTGGACCGCATTCAATTTACGAAGTATACAACCCGCAATAGGCGGGCCCTAATACCTGCTAGCACCCCTGGTCGCGAAGCGTTAATAGGACTTGCATACATTGGATGATATTTTAATGTGGTAGGCGTCATTTTCTTGCCATTTTATCATTTAAAAGTTCATTTATACGGTCTATCCGGCGCAGATGTCAAAAATAAAAAATAAAAAGATGGTGTCACTCTCTTTGAAATTGTATCTAATATCCATATCATCCTTATTTTCATACACCTACACCTACTCTTTACTCATTTACAGTGAATGTCACAGTGATAGTATAATTAACGATGCTGTCCGTAGGAACTGGATGTAATCATGAACAATGCACAGGATGGAGTGATCTACTTCAGTTTTGGATCGATTGTGACCCCCAGCATTCTCGGAGAGGAGGAAACTCAAATATTCTTATCCGTTCTGAAAGAGTTGAATCAGACCGTTTTATGGAAGACGGACTGGAACTCTACCGCCCATGATATTCCGAAGAATGTTTACACGAGGGATTGGTTCGATCAGAAGAGTATCTTAGGTAAACCATCACCATTTCACCGATTCTCTACTTCAAATTCGCAGTACCTCATTCTCAAGTAGCACGGTGCAATGCAAATATTGAAATCGAATTGCGATTTATTATAATTAAATTAAAATTCTTTTACCACGAAAATGCAATATTTTTACATAATATGGTCTATAAATGCCGATTTTAAACAGTGAACAAAATAAAACGAGTTCCGTGCTTTAGAAAAATACGCAGTTTCCAGTGCCGTGAAAAATTGAATCTTATTCCAAATCTTTTGCAATAAATCCAATTAGCGAAGTGCCTTCAATCAGCAGATAGGCAACATACACAACACTCCGATGCATTTGGAATAATTTTAACATGTAATTGCCATTTGTTGCGATCTGTGCCACTTGGGTCGTCATTACCACATTTCCATCATCAGAGTCATTCCCATCATTAGTCTGTCCCGAGTTGTGGTTAAAATATTTTTATGCGGAGGCGCATCGGCTATATTTTAATTTTTATAAATATCGGTGGCCCAAGAGGGAAACTGCGTACCCTCACTGCGGTGTTTTAAAATTTCCGCTCCTATTTTATTTTTTTAAGGAGTAACGCGTCAACTTCATAGCTTAAAAGTTCTAGAGAATATTCTGCTATCTGAGAAGAAGAATCAAGGAAGTTTTAAGATATTACGTCGATTAGTTTTGCAAAGACAAAGAAAATTATGGCAATCAGTATATCGACGGTGAAACTACCAAACCACGTATCTCGGTTTGCGACGTCGCAGACTTCCTGTCATACTTTATTTTTTAAATGAAAAACTACTCAACGTCCAGTCTTGAAAGTTTTTGTGATTTTTCCTCTTCGTGCGAAGAAAATTTTGTGACAATTTCAAGGAATGATATTGATTTGGTCTACTTCAAAAAAATAAAATGCGAGCGTAGATTTTTAAACACCGCAAAGGAGATACGTGGTTTGGTAGTTTCACCGTCGATATACAGTCAAAAACGAAGATACGTGATTTCGCACTTTGGCCATGGATGTATTTTATTAACCTATGATAGATAGGATAGATAGATATGTTACTAAAATTGTCACTAAAATTGCCAACACCGTTGGCAAAAGTGCCCAGTGCGGATTGAGCAAATGTTCTGCCCCACCTTCAGACTGGCCATCCATGCTGCGAGTCTACGAACAGACCGATGGTTTTGCTGTACTGCCATGCTAAGGAAGAACGCCGTATGAACATCCGAGATTTGCCAAATTTCCTTCGATAAAATGTTTATTTTTGAGGAAAGTTATGAATATTTTTCCTTAAAATTTTCAAGAACTTTAGGTGAAATTATGAGCAAAATTATCTGACAAATTGGAAGAAAAATATTCATAAGGTTACTAGGAAATTCGTGTTTTATCAGTCGAAATTTAGCAACGTCTGAAGCTTCATACGCCGTTTTACCCTAGCACGGCAGTGTAGCGCCCTGATGCAACTATTTGTGTTCCACGGATGTGCGAGTTGCGTGCTCATAACTGAAGGCACTTCTGCTTTTCTCACTTCTTCAGAGAAGGTCTTGTTAGTTGTATCACTATAAAAACAGTGCACCTATTAATTAGGAAGGGTATTACCAGTGAGCGACACAAGACCAGAGTATCTAAGGCCAATAATTGAATCGGTCATTCGTCAAAACTTAAGAAATGATAACACGAGAAAAACATTAGAAACTTTAATAATTGACCCGTTTTAAATCGTTGATCATAAGATAAGGCGATTAATTAATTCATCGCTTTTCAAACTACAATTTCTGGCGCTTAGGTCATTTTAAGCCGATTAAAATCGGTGATTATCTCAATCGACGAATAAAACACTGCTTGTGAGTTGACTATGGCGCCTTGATGCAGGATGCAACTATTCGTGTTCCACGGATGCGCGTGTTGCATTTTCAAATTTGAAGGCACTCTTGCTTTTCTCGCCTCCTCAGAAATGCATGGGAGTTGTCCTCAGTTGTAGCACTCGAATAACAGAGCCCGAACCAGCACCTACGCAGAGAAATTAATGTCATCTCAATCCTTTTACTACTAAGAAGGGGCAGCTTTCTGATTGAAACACGAGTGACAGGCTTCATGGATTTTCTGATATCAAAATTTTGAAAGAATTTCTGAACAAACTTATTAAATGGATATTTGAGCATATAAATTTGAGCTACCATTTAACCCGTGGAGTATCACGGAAAACGAAGGTGCTCCAGGTCAAACTTGTGTCCGCGAAGTCTTCCACCATTTCATTTAACTTTATCATGGAGCATGGACCAATAAGTAACTTCAGAGAATTCGTCAATAAATCTCTTGGGGGATTGTGGGTAATTTGTAAGGGCGGAGCTATCATTTTTTTAGTCGGATTGTTTATTTTAGATTATTTTAATTGGTTTTAGTAATTACGTATTATACAAATGTCATGTTTTTTATGTGTTCACACAATTATCTTGTCCTTTAGCTCATCCTAGATGCGTTCTATTTCTGACTCACGGGGGTCTGTCGAGTTTGATGGAAGCAATTAATTATGCTGTTCCTGTCGTTGGAATGTCAGTCTTCGGAGATCAACCGAAGAATCTGGCCTATGCAGAGTATCTCGGGTATGGACTGCACATACCCCACAAAGATTTAACGCAGAACTCACTGCGTAGGGCACTCAGAACAGTTCTCCAGGATGGCAGGTTAGTTCTGAGCCATGTTTTATTCCACAACAACATATTAGGCAACGAAAATATTAAAACAAAGTTGCAATATAATGCTGCAAAGTCCCATTTTAACGAAATGAAATCGCAATTTTAAAGCCGATAGGAAGCACTTATTGATTTCAACCTGCCTCTAGAATTCTAGTACACCTCTAAAGTGGTTGGCAAAGTGTTCAAATGACACACTAGCTCAACAACAAGATGGGAGACCCAACATGTTTAGAATAGATTAATCGGCGATACCTTTATTTAGTGCTTCTGAATCTGATGTCAAAGCATGGAGGACGAAAATCACTTTTCTATGATTTATTCTTTTAGCGGTCGGGTCGATTCCTCAAAATTATTGAAAGTTGAAATTTTGATGAGCGAGTTCTTTCATCTCGACAATGCTCACCATCTACGGGAACTTAAGAAGCGCCTACATAAGAGACAGATGAGCGCCTCTCTAATACGAATGTATTTGAGATTTCCCGCTTGTATGACTATCAAAATAGTGCGATATTCTTACATCATTTGGTCCATAAATGGTGATATTAAATGATAAACAAGATTATTACCATGCAATCATGTATCCAGAAGATTGGGCATCTACAATGCGAAATCCTGACTAATTGCAACGGATTTCAATTTTATGTAACGTAAAACATCCCGATAAGAGGAACCCCTTCAATTAGAAGACAGGCAGCATTCACTACACTCGGATGCAGCGGCAATAATTTTACCATGTGATCTCAATTCGTTGCAACCTTTGCTACTTGGGTAAGGCAGCACTCATGCAGGAATCATTAAGGCTGCAATTCTGCATTGTCACCAGGACTTAAATATTTGTTGCTACCAAGAAAGTATTATTGTAACCACTACTAGAGAAATAAGCTGGACCAGAAATCCACCATCGGCATTGTACAAAATATTCTGTTTTTTCTCTCTTTTTTTTTCTAGGGATTCCACCTCAAACAAGGCATTTTAGGTATTAAATTCACTGTAATATGTCAGAACAAAATAATGTCTCTTGAAAGAAAGTTTGAAATCCATAATTGACAGCATTTTTAAGATCAAAATTTGGGTATTATAGTATGAAATTTGTAAATGGAATTTTAGTAATCTTGGAAATAATTATTATTTTTATTTATTTCCGTCTTCAGGTTTAAGGAAAACATCAACAGAGCTTCGAAAATCTTCCAAGACAAACCGATGTCATCATTAGACACGGCTATCTATTGGATAGAATATGCAATTCGGCATAAAGGTGCTCATCATTTAAAGCCCTTGGCGGTTCGAATGCCCTGGTATCAACTGTTCTTGTTAGATATTATCACCGTATGTTTCACAATATTCGTTGTTTTGTCCTACTTAATGTTCAAGATGATCTCATTATTATTAAGGAAATATTTTACTCGATCGAGACCGTTAAAAGAAAAAAGTAACTGACAAATTTGTTTTTTGCGTATTGCTTTATCTCTAAGTATGTTTAGATCACCCCTAAAATTAAAAAAAAGAGAAATACCTATTATAGAAGACACTCTCGTGAGGAGTTCTATATCTTGACCACTTTTGATCCTCTCATGACCAATTATAAATATTTTAAAAGTAATTGACCACGTTCCTGGAATGGCAACTGAGAAGTTGGACTTTACAATGTTTACAAAAAATTGGGAAAAATTCTGGCATTCAGAGAAAAAATAACTATATTCTTTGCTAATTTTATGTGAACTCCTCCCCATCTAATACCGTCGGATAAATGCCCATTACTGACGACTGTTCCTCTTTGAAAAAAATTGCCATTCGGTATTTCTTAAAGGAAAGAGCTCATGATATATTTTCTTAACTGTATATCCTTGCATTAATTGGAGCAACTTAACTCTTGAATTTTCCTGCCATCACACTATCGGAATACAGAGACGAGCAATGGGACTAAGAGTGATGATAAGATCTAGATGAAAACCTGAGTTGAAGTTCAGTGCTTATCTTTCCCTGTAATAAAAAAGCATAAAGAGTAATGCGTAACGCATAACGCCCGAGGCGCGAATCATTCGGGGGGGGGGGGGGTTGGACCTAGAAGCGGTCAAGGGATGTAGCCTGCAGCCCCCTTGTGAGTGAGAAAAATTCAGTTACCACAGCTAAAAATGTGTTGTTTCATTTACGAACCGAAGCTTTTCGTCGCGTTGGGGTTGTACCTTGGAGCGGTCAGGGGGCCCCTCCTCAGTCCACATACGTGCATTGCGAGTTCATATATCGCTAGCGAGATGCTGGCGAGTGACAAATGCTGCCTTACTTTACTGCCGTGCTAAGGAAGAGCGCCGTATGAGCCTTCAGACGTTGCCAAGTTTCCCCCGATAAAATACTAATTTACTAGGAAAATTGCGAATATTATTTTCCAAATTTTCAGACATTTGTTTACGCAATTCAGTCTAAAATATCTGAAAATTTCGAGGAAAAATATGCATGAATGTTGTCCAAAATACATGATTTATCAAGGGAAATTCGGCAACTCTCGAATGGTCATACGGCGCTCTTCCTTAGCGCGGCAGTGTATGGAAGACGTCGAATGAGTATTCGAATATTGCCAAATTTACTCTTAGAAAAAGCTTATTTTCGAGAAAAGCTATGAATATTTTTCATCAAAATTTTCAGATACTTGAGATAAATTTACGGATAAAATTCCCTGAAAAATTCGGAGGGAAAATACCCACAAATTTCCCCGACGATTCGTGATTTGTGAAAGGGAATTTGGCAACGTGTGAGGATTCATACGGCGTTTTTCCTGAGAACGTTGGAGTGGGCCCGAGCGGAAGCTCGGACAACGGGCCGGGACGGTGTGACGGTAGCGGGGCCCGAAGCTCCCGGGCGGAGAGAGAGCGTAGAAAGTCGGCGGGCGGGCATTGGCGGACGGCGGTGTGACGTCACGGAAGGCACAGTTATGATAACAGCTCCTCGGAAGGAAGATTCGGATTGATCGGGCAGGATCGGAGCGCGCCGCCGCCGTAGCCGCACAGGCACAGGCCAGGTTCAAGTTCTGGGTCAATATACTGAGTCTGCGCCGCGCCGCGACGCGCCGTCCGTGTCCAGCTTGTGTCGTGCAGCAGGTGTTTGTTGTGACTCCCTTTCAGGAATTACTATCCCAGCCCAGTCCTCGCCCACCGAAATGCAGGTGAGACCTCACTCAATCAGTGCATGCCAGAATAACACCCACTCTCGTCATCGTTAACTTCGAAAAAGACTCAACTTTAAGCGGTAAAAGGTGTGAGAAACGAAAAAAAAAAACTCACGAGAGTCGATGGTTTCGAACGATTTGTTGTACCAAAATACACTAATTTCAGTTATTGTTTTAAATAATCTGAAAATATTTTTAGTACATGTTAGTGTCCTGTTTGGTACAGAGAGTTGTCAGTTCGAAAACGACTCAACTCTAAGCGGTAAGAGGTGTGAGAAACGAAAAAAAAAAAAAAAAAAAAAAACTCACGAGAGTCGATGGTTTCGAACGATTTGTTGTACCAAAATACACTAATTTCAGTTATTGTTTTGAATAATCTGAAAATATTTTTAGTACATGTTAGTGTCCTGTTTAGTACAGAGAGTTGTCAGTTCGAAAACGACCCAACTCAAAGAAGAAAAAAGGTTTTAAAAACGGAAAAAACTCATGAGAGCCGATGGTTCTGAACGGTTTGCTAAACTAAAAAACACTGATTCCAGACGTTGTTTTGAATTCTCTGAAAATAATTTTAATGCATGTAACTAATAGGTATATCATAGTTAAAAAACGACCCAATTCCGAGAGGTAAAAAGGTTTAAAAAAACGGAAAAACTCATGAGAGCCGATGGTTCTGAACGGTTTGTTAAACGAAAAAGCGCTGATTTCAGTCTATTTTTTGAATTCTCCGAAAATAATTTTAATGCATGTAACTAATATATCATTGTTCGAAAACGACCCAACTGTAAGCGGTCACGAGGTGTCAAAAATGGAAAAAAATTCACAGAGCCGATGGTTTGAACGGTTCGTCAAACGGGAGAACCTGATTTCAGTCGATTGTTTTGAGTGATCTGAAAATATGTTTGTTGCATGTATGTAGTCCACCATATAGTTCCAAAAAGACCCAACTCAGACAGGGAAAAAGGTTTCAAAAACGGAAAAAGCTCATTACAGCTGATGATTTTGGTCGATTTGTTAAACGGAAAAAACTGATTTCGGTCGATTGTTTTGAATGATCTGTAAATATTTTAATGCATGTTATTAAGTTATCATAGTTTGAAAGAGTCCAACTCTGAGGGGTAAGAAGGTGCATAACTGCATACTGTCATGAGGTGTGAAAAACGAATAGAACTCATTAAGAGAGCCGATGGTTTTGAACGGTTTCTTAAACAAAAAACACCGATTGCAGTAATTGTTTTGACTGCTCTGAAAATAATTTTAATGCATGTAAGCAATATATCATAGTTCCAAAACGATCCAACTCAGAGAGGTAAAAAGGTTTTAAAAACGGAAAAAACTCAAAGGAGTCGATGGTTCCGAACGATTTGTTAATAACGGAAAAAAACTGATTCCATTCGATTGTTTTGAATGACCTGGAAACACTTTAAATGCATGTAAGTAAGTAATTTATTGTAGTTTGAAAACGACCCAACTTAGTGGGGTAAAAAGGTGTTAAAATCGGGAAAAACTTACGAGATCCGACGATTTGAACGATTTGTGAATCGGAAAAAACTGATACCAGTCGATTGTTTTGAATGATCTGAAAATATTTTTAGTGCATGTTATTAAGTTATCATAGTTTATAAAAGACCTAAATCTGAAGGGTAGAAAGGTGCAAAGAATGAAAAATACCTGACTTCAGTCGATCGATTTGAATTATCTGAAAATATTTTTGGTGCATGTTGTATATAAAGTTTTCAAAGTTCGAACGACTCAACTCCGAGGAGCATAATGGTGTTGGAAAAAATATGTTGTTTTTACTCAAACAACTTAAATGTGATGTTTCAAGCATGAAAATGTCCTTAGTTTCAGTGGTTTTATTCTAGTTGGGTCGAAAACCTAGATTTTGTGCTCTCAATGGAAAATACACTCCATTAATCGAAAGAAGAATTTATGAGCGGTTCTATTTGTTTATGTGCCAGCGAGGGTGTAAAGTTGCAATAAAATTTAACACTTTTGTGTCCCAAACTTGAAGGTTTACTAATGTGAGTAGCCTCTTCTTAACAACTCTTTGTAGACTCTGCAAACTTTAAACTCTTATAACTCGGGTTTATTATGAAATTTTCCGCATTTTTTTTTTTATGACAAAATTCCTTAAATTATCCTGGTCTAGTATCCATGAGTCAACTTAAAGTTTTTTTGACCAAATGTTAAAAAATCGCCAACTTTGGACCGTTACTTTTAAATGGATTTGTATTGATAATTTTAAAAACTAAAACTAGATTCATTTTGTTCATCGCAATAAGCTCCACAATACCAAAGATGCACATCCATCGGTAGACATCAGAGATGTCCATATTTTGCCAATTTGAAAAACTCTTCCCAGATTCGTTTTTCTTGTTCATAAAAACCCCCGGATAATGAGTATCGTAGAAACCCGTTGGTCAACAGAATATGCCAATGTCCCGCTGCCATTTTACAAAAAACGAAGATGGCGACCAGTGACTACCGCGAAAAAAAATACTTTTTTTTATCCTCTTTCAAATGAGGTATCGCAAGAAGGGAGTTACCGTATGAAAAAAATTGAGGGAACCTCCTTCCCGTAATGGGGTGTCCCTCAAAAATCTTGGAGACGCCAAAAAGTAGTCCTCTTTGACCTAAAAACATTTCCCAAGAGTAAAAGCTCAATTAGGAAAACTTTTATAAAGGTAGGCACAGACTTATGGGATACCCTGTAAAATTCAAGTGACTTGAACGCAAGGATAGAAAAGTAGACGTTATCGCCCATCGATTGTTACTCCTCATTACAATGTGTCACACATCTCAGTTCTTCGTTCTCTTATAAGTGTAATGACTTAATTTGGGTATATTGCTCTTAAGAGATTCTATCCTCTTCTATGAATACCAGAAAGAGTAAAACAAACTTACGAGGGTCAATAGCCTGCCACAAGGTGTAAAAATTTTGCGTTACTTTCATGCTGATAACGGAATCAAAAGTTGATTCAGTAAGTTCTTTTATGCAAGATGAGATCTAAAACCTCTCTCAGATGGTAAGTGTAAGTATGTAAACTGTTCCAAACACAAGAAAAAGGAAAAATAAAAAGAAATATCATACTGTTGGAACGATTTACTGATTTCATAACCAGCAAATAAGTGGTCAAGTCTGAAGGTATTATCTTTATTTTTCGACGGGATTACCTGAGAAATTACTTAAGGGTTACCTCTCGAATAAGAGGACACCTTCTGAAAAACTGATACGGAAGGAGACATCAGAAGAAGAAGGAAAACCGGAAAAAATAAGATGTGAACGACCCCTCTGGATGTTGTAAGTAAAGTGGTTTTTTTAACAAGTCCAATCCGAGTTTCATTATTCAATCGTGTGTTCCAGATATATAACAGCATGACCAACAGAAATTCTAACCAAAGGCTTGGTCACGATTAAAAACATTCATTCGGTGATAGGACCTGGTAAGGTAATTTTGTGCGATTAGCATGATTTGTTGGCAAACAGCCAATTTTTGGCGTCTGACACACTCCTAGCATAAATGAATTTGAATTTCCGCGATCACATCAATAATATGCGACTACTCACGGAAAAAGAACCGTAGCTCTCAGAGACACATCGATGGTGAAAGTCGCAGAGGAGGTACCTCGACTGCGACGTTTCAAAATGTCCGCCGTCATTTTATTTTTTAAAGAGAATGCAACGAACGTCGTTGTTCGTAGGACATGTTTTAAGAATGAAGAAAAATCAGGACAAATTCCACAAAGTAAATTTTGATGGTTTTCCTTAAAAATTGAAATGTGATCAGAAATCTGCAACGTTACAAATATTGAAGGCGAAACTCTCAAACCACGTATCTCGCTTTGCGACGTTGCAGACTTTTTGTCATACTTTATTCCTGGAACGGAAAACCATTCAGAGTCAATTCTTTAAAATTCCCGTGATTTTCTTATTTTTGTGATGAAAACTCTTTAAAAAATCTCAAGGAATAATGTTGTCATGTTCTCCCACAAAGAAATAAAATGGGAGCGGCGATTTTAAAACACCACAAACGAGGTGCGAATTTGGGAATTTCATCGTCTATATGTCTCTCGCGACTTTTATCGTCAACATATCTTGGGAAGGAACTTTTACTTGATCGGTCAAAAAAAATTGCTCAGGAATTGACGATTTTGCCTCTACTCCACCTAGTCATGCATGAATCAAATTTTGCTCAGATACTCATATTGTGGTCAGTATTCCTGATATCCGAGCAGGATTTTAAATTCCGCGGATAACCAAGGAGGAAGGGGCAGAGGCAGAGGGTTGAGTTTCTTTCTTGCAGGATTTTGATATTAGAGGTCTCAACGGAATACACTCTCCAAGATCCCCGAGAATTCAACGTGAAAGGCTCACAAGTTCATATTTGTCCAAATAAAGGGTGTGTACCAAGACTCTATTCCGACAATTTTGAGTTTTGAAAACGGCTAACTAAAAATTGAAAATCACCTCTCCTCACAAGCATGGGTTTTGAACAGCGAAAACCAAACCGTTATTTTTCATACTGATCGAAATAAGGATAGAAAAAGGGCCATTTTAGTCGTTCCTTGGGTATAAATCCTTTTTAAAGGATGTCCCTTGTGACATTGTTTAAAGGGAGGTTTAAAGGAGATCCTTCACATGTTATTACAAAAAGGATAATTATGACAAATCTCGAGTAAACTTCAACAGTTCGACTTTGGATTTAAACCCTTGCGAGGAACCACAACGATTTGCCACTGCAAACTATTATAAATGAGAAAAAGATTTTGGCAAACTTTGAGATAGGGACAGGCCTTCCTTAAAATTTTCAAAATCGGCAAAGTTTTCCTCAGTCTTTTTAATTTTTGATATATCCAAAGTTGTACTGCTGAATGTTACTCGAGGTTTTGTTAGAATTGAGGGGCTTGGAGAACAACGCGCATGTATGCAGTTTTTGGAAAAAATTGAGGTATATCAATGATTTTGAGTAAAGATAGTCTTGACGCATATTTTGTGA